TGTATCTTTATTTTTCATAATCTTTGTTTGTGTGCCATTTGCTAAATAAATGCTTTTTCTTTCTTTTTTTCTTTTCTTCTTTCTTTCATAAGACTTAAATTAAAATATGTTTCTATAAAATACAGCTGAGCATTTATTGTCTAGCAAACTAAACATGTTCGGCACAAATCGGTTGAAGACATAGAAATATTAAAGAATAAGTCGTTTAAAGAATAAGGCTTATACAGTGAAACTTGGTTAAGTGGGACCTGGATCAGTTAGAAACCTCCATAACTGGAACACATGCTGAGGTCCCAACACTTTCGCACTGAATTACCTCTGTTAGTGGGACGAGGTAAACCTCTATATCTGGGGTTTGTTCTTTCTTTTATCATCATAGTTACCTCTATAACTGAGACAGCGAGTTAATTTTATATGCATAAACCTCTGTAACTGAGATAACATTGTTTGTTTACTCATTCTTATTCTACCCACAAATTCCACACGTAATTTCAAGTCCACCTCTATTAATAGAACCCTCTGTAAATGAGACAGATATTTATTTATACCTGTATATCTGAGACACTGGGTAAGTGGAATACCTCTAAAAGTGAAACGACATTGCAGGTCCCTTGATGTCTCACTTAACCAGCTTTCACTGTATTTGAATTAATGAGTTATCGATGCCGCGTGTGTGCACTTATCGTAGTATTGTTTTATCAGAACTGTGGAGTATTGTTTTGTCAGAAATGGAGGGGCAGTTGTGGCTTCACGGGTTTGCATACATTTTTAACTCCACGCCATATCTCCTTCTTTAATATATCTGTGGTTGAAGATATCTGCTTCAAAATTTGGTTGCAAGATTCCACGCCATATTTAGGCTTTCATCAAAAAGCATTCATATATTTTTTTATGGTATAAGCCGGTAAACGAGCAGACGGATCACCTGATGGTAAGCAATCGGCGTCGTCCATGGACACATGGAACACCAGAGGCGATAGAAGTGCGTTATCGGCCTTTTGGGGATTAGGAATTAGGATGATAGAGGATTCCGGAATTGGGGAGATTGGGGAAGGACGTTGGAAAAATTGGCCCTATTAATAACAATTCAGTTAAGTTTTTAATATATCATTAACTAGTGACCCGCCCCGGCTTCGCACGGGTGCAATGTGCATGTATTATACATACAAACCTTCCTTAAGAATCACTCTATCTATTAAAAAAAACCGCATCAAAATCCATTGCGTAGTTTTAAAGATCTAAGCATACATACGGACATACAGCGAAAGCGACTTTGTTTTATACTATGTATTGATCATCAACAGCCTATTAATGCCCACTGCTGAGCAAAGCCTCTTCTCACACGGAGAAGGTTTAAACATTTAATCACCACGTTTGCTCAATGCGGGTTGGCGATTTCAAACTTATAATTTGAAATTATAAGCCCAGGTTTCCTCACGTTGTTTTCCTTCACCGTTTGTCAGTGGTGTCTAAATAATCTTAGAAAGTACATATAACTCGGACATAGTCACATTGGTACTTGCCGTTGGTAGGTTTCGAGCCCGCACCCTCATGCATGAGAAGCGGGCGTCTTAAACCTCAGGGCCACCAAGACATATACATTACTAGCTCTTACCCGCGGCTTCGCTCGCGTCACAAAAGGATAAAAAGTAGCCTATGTGACATATACCAATACACAGCGCCATCTATACCAATACTTTTGTTTTCCCTCGGGAATATCGAATGTTTCCGGGATAAAAAGTACCCTATTATTTAATCCGGACTTCTAACTTTACGTGTGCAAAAAATCAAAGCAAACTCACTTTCTGATTTATCATATTAGTAAGGATTATCGTAATATAAACCTATGAAACTAATGAACAATGTAATTTGAAAATAGTAGTTCATTACTTAAGTATTCTTATCGCTTCCAGGCACCAGAATGTGAGTATGCATACACATATATTTTCTGCATAATTATCGACGAATTCAGATACATTTTTTTTAAGGGGGGGAAAATCATCAAATTACTGCTCCCGCCCGGGTGAGGCGGGAGGGAGTGTCAGACTCTTACTGACTTAAAACCACCCCGTTTCTTCTCCTGCACGTCGAGTCGGAGCCCCGGTTACCCGTTAGGTTCTCCGCGACTCCGAATCGGCATCGGCCGTATTGGGCCCCATCTATTGTGGTCTGATGGCTCTTTGAGGCGCGCGCGGAACGCGACGCGCCGTACGCTCGGGTCTGGTTCTGGTCGGACGGGGAGCCACCCATGCTCGCCGTCCGCAGGCCCGCGCTGACGGTGGCCGGAGATCGTCCCGCGATCCCCGACGCCCGGTGTGTCCTTCGCGATAGCTGGATTGCGAGGAACTCAGATACATTTAGGACTGTAGTGAAAGACCCGTGTGAGACTTTGCCTAGCTATTTCACTTTTACTTAATTAATTAATCAACAATTTGTTGCTGTTCAAAGCATATTTTATTGTAACACCGAGTGAATGACCGTTTGGACTGTAACTAGATTATGTTTCTGTTGATGTATCAAATTCTTCAGTACTATAGTTCCTACAATGTTTCATATAAATATATATGTATCTCTATCTATGTTTTGCAATTAAGCTAATATAATTACTTGTTTAATAAATGTACTTTTACGATAATATTAATATTTAGTTACCTATCAATATATGTAGTAATGTACGTGTGTATGTATGTATGTATATTAAATAATCTACTTTACTTTAATTTTGATCGATTACTTATGTTAAAGAATTTGTTTATACATATATATAACTTGTTCTAGAATTAGTAATATTGTGAGTGCTCCTTTCGCCTGTGGTACAGGATATTCTTCTTCTTCTTCTTTTGGTTGGTATTGTTCGTCGGGTCATTCAGCAACATCTGCTACTTGAGCTGGGTGCTTACTCTTGAAACCAATCTCAATGTCAATGCATTTTCAATCCAATAAAATCTCAATAATTATTCAATGTCAAAACTATACAACCACAATCGTAGCTGTTGAAACAGCAATCAGAGTACGGAATATAAAGCCAAACTCGATACCATTTAGTTCATTCAATATCCACTCAATACGGATTCAATGGGCGCTAGTGTTGCAACCCGTGAGTACGAAATTTCACAATATCAATGTCGATCGATCGGAATTGGATTCAATAGTAAGCCTGATTGGAAACTGACACACGCGTGCTGCTATCAGAACAGGTCCGCTCAAACTGTTGTGGATCTTTCCTTAAAAATACCACTACAGAATCAACTAGCATGGTTCTCGCATATGATACAATAACCTCTGTGTTATTTCAGCGTTTCTTCTCAAGGTGACTACCCTGAGAAGTTAGGAAATGCCGGCCCTCGTCTGGTAATTTAATGATGTCAATTGGGTAACCATTTGCAGAAATAAATATCATTTCAGTTGTATTTTAGACACCGATTGACGCGACTGGTTGCGTCGCCATGGTGTCCGAAAGAAAAGAAAGATAAAATAAAGGAAAATCATTTATATCGCCACGGCAAATACGTAGACAAGAACATAAACCTTCGATCACCAATAGCAATTATTGTTGATCGAAGACATACCCACAAAAAGCCAGGTACGATGCCGATTCGGAGTCACCGAGAACCTAACGGGTAACCGGGGCTCCGGCTCGACGTGCAGGAGAAGGAACGGGGTGGTTTTTAGTCAATAAGAGACTGACACTCCCTTGATTTTCCCCTTTAAAAAAACACACACAAAAAGCCCATAGCAAATTGACATCGTAGCGTAGCAGATGTGGCCACACACCGGCCACCGTAAGCACGGGCCTGCCGACGGCGAGCATGGGTAGCCCGCCGCCCGACCAGATTCAGACCCGAGCGTACGGCGTCGAGCGTCCCACGCGCACCTCATACCACCAGACCACCACGTATGGGGCCCAATAGGGCTGATGCCGAAACGGAGCCGCGGAGGACTTAACGGGTAGCCGGGGCTACGGCTCGAAGTGCTCGAAGGAGTAGGAACGGGGTGGTTTTAAGTCAGTAAGTGTCTGACACTCGCTCCCGCCTCACTCACGAGACGACAGAAGTTATTCAATGATTTTCCCCCTTTCAAAAAAAGATGTAACCACACTACAATACAATAGTATCAAAATAGATCTGAATAGATCTTAAACGCACTGCAGATTCGAGCTGGTCGCTTCGCCGGAGATCGTGCGATACCCACGAATCACCCGAATGTCCATGACCCTCTGGGATGTGAGTAGCGCCCGAGCGGGCCGCCGCATCGTGATGCGGCCCCTGCGCCTGGCCCCTGCCCCTGTGTATGTAGAGGTGTGTGTAGAGGGCCATGGACCGCAAGATCCCTTCGTACAACCTCCGGCAGGAGGCGTTTGGCCCCCCAAGGTTGGGTAGGTGGCGGTTAAGCGCCGCCCCAGTCCGTTCCAATTTTAAAGCTAAACGTCCGAAGTGCTCCACGAAGTTCCACTAATTGTCGAGTACAAGTCCTAGGTACTTCATAGTCGTCTCGACGCCGATGGTAACTCCTCCCGCCGTTATTACGGACCCACCCGGAGGTGGCTCATTACCACGGCCATGAAAACACATGGCCTCGGACTTGTGTAGCGCCACCTCGAGTCCCAGTTGCCGGATCCTTGCAACGACTGTTGCAGCCGCTCTCGCCATTAAATTGGGCACCGCCTGGTGCGACCTCCCGTGTCATCAGCGTATCAAACCGACGCCGCACGGGAGGTCGGTGCGCAGCACCCAGTCATAGCCGATATTCCACAGGAGTGGTCCTAAAACTGAACCCTGTGGAACACCGCGCGACGTCTCTCGCCGGTTCCACTCACCTCGGTGACCGGGGTGCCTTTTGACCTGACCTGGCAACTCGTACGTCAAATATTACACAAAACTGCGATGCGATGAGATGTAAATACGCAACGCAAAACTATACCTTTGACGACGTTACTTCTGTGTGCACCTCTGTCTACCCCTTTGTGGATAAAAGGCATGATGTTATTTTATGATTAATAGGAGCTGAGCTGAGCGTGTGAAACCGCGCGAAGTATCTAGTTGTTGAGTATAGATTGTTGAACGGTAAGTGCAATCAGGTAATTTAGTATAATTGGGTAAGAAAATTAGGATTCGAGAGTCGACTGAGTTACAAAAGATAGGGCTTCATTGCAAAGCACACAATTTAGTATAACGCTAATAGCTACTGTCTCTGTACTGAATCCCTGTGTAGGAGAGCCATGCTTCGTCACGAATGGGCCGGCTCGTCCGGAGTGATACTACGGCCGAGCAGAAAACCATAATGAAACAACGCTCGCGATGGGTTTCTTGGTGTGAGGTTACCGGAGGCCCAATTACATCCGCAATCCTCAACAATCCTCAAATTTCTAATCCCTAAAAGGCCGGTAACGCACTTGTAACGCCACTGGTGTTCCGTGTGTCCATGGGTGACGCCGATTGCTTACCATCAGGTGATCTGTGGGCTCGTTGACCGTCATCTCATAAAAAAACCTTTGATAAATTTCTAATTATTTTTATAATAACTATAGTGAGACATACTAAATTAACTAAAAGTCGCGGGTTACTGACGTGAATATACTGAGAAAAGCTCTACTAGTTTCGAACCACAGAGGGGTTCTTCCTCATGAGCAGCGTGTGCGGTCGCGGCGATATCGCTCAGCCTAACTAGTAAAGCTTTTCTCAGTATATTCACGTGAGTAACCCGCGGTATTTAGATAAATTTCTAATTAATTATTTTTTCAGCTATTCAAATAAGTATCATGTACAAATTAAAGATAATGTCTTGTTTCTTGATTACAATTATTACATGTAAGTATTTTTCTTCTTTTATAAGTACAACGAATAAAGTTAAACCCAAGGATACATTTGGCTTCAAATTGTCAAGCGATGCCTGTCGGTACCGCCTGACATTATATCAATAAGGCGCGATTTATATCCACAGCAACGTCAGACCAGTCAGGCCCAAAGATACAGATGGGTAAGAAGTCGGTGCCACAAGCCCATAACAAAATATAACTTAAGTTAATGGTCATAGTTAAAATCTATACTAATATTATAAAGAGGAAAGATTTGTACCTATTTTTGTAAGTTTGTATGATTCTTTCACCAATAGAATGCTACATTCTTCCAAGACATAGGCATTTACATTTCATTTAAAAATAAATTAGAGATCCTTGATAAAATTTGAACAATGTAACCGTAATGTGTAGAAAAATGAGTCTTAAAATGTCTTTCGTCGAATGCGCTGCCGAAACTATTAGCTTTAGAACAAAATAATGTACAACAATATTGAAGAACATCATAATGTCTACAAAAAACTCCGCGGTAGCATATGTCCAACTATTGTAGTTATTTAATCAAAATTTCCAAAAATAAATAATTGTCTACCCCGTGCGAAGCCGGGACGGGCTGCTAGTCTGTCATAAAAGCTTATTACGGGTTTAAAGAATAAATTTTCTTAACTAAAATCGCGGAATATATTGAGAAAAGCTCTACTAGTTTCGAACTACAGACGGGTTCTTACTCATGAGCAACGTGCGATAGTCGCGACGTCGCGCGGCTCACTGGCTGGCGTAGGCGCTCGCATCGGTGTTGCTGCGAGCCCAACGCGCCCTCTGCCGGACACCACGAGCGTTTGCTTCCAACTCCGGCGGGGCGTGAGTAACCCGCGATTTTAGTCAATTTACTATGTCTCACGATAATTATTACAAAGTCAAAGTCAAAGCATTTATTTCAATTAAACCATAGTTTGGTACTTTTGAAACGTCAACAAATACAAAATAATTAAACTGTCAAACACCAAGCGGTCACCGGTGACCGCAACCTATTGTTCTATAATTGTGTCTATAATGACGGTACTCGACGAGTTAATAGTCTGTAAGTCAGTCCGTCAATGAAATTAGGTGAAGCTAGGTGCTCATTCCAAAACGTAGATTCGAATGGAAAAGAACGAGCAAGAAACTCCATTCGTTACTCTTTTAAAAAATGTATGTTCTACAATGTCTGTACAAAAAATACCTTTTGTTTAAAACTTGTGGCACTGACTTTTCACCTATCAGTGTGTGGGTACTGGGTAACCCTATATTCCGTGGGGTAACCTATAAGAACGTGTGACATACGTGTGACTAGTAATAATTATTATTATCGTTTGCTTTTTAGTTTTTACCTTTTGCTTGATTTAGCAAGCAAAAGGCAAGCTTTAGGTTTTGGTTTTCGAAGTCGATTTTTTTCTTAAATTTGTAAAGAAAAAGGTTTTCTTAATTTTAAAATTGACTACTTTGTCAAATAGTCTTTGTTTTTTTTAAAACGTCAATATATGACTTTTGTGTTAAAGAATTTATAGAAGAATAAAACATTAAATGTCGTTTCTTAATTTTACAAAGCAACACATTAGTTTTATTTCATTCTAAATTATACGATTTAGTCTTATAAAACGACATTTAATGTTTTATTATTCTATAAATTCTTTAACACAAAAGTCATATAGAGGTATTGACGTTTTTAAAAAACAAAGACTATTTGACAAAGTAGTCAATTAAAAAATTAAGAAAACCTTTTTCTTTTCAAATTAATTAACATTGTGAGTAAATTATTCATTTCAATATAAAAATCATATTTATTTTTATAAAAACGTTGCCCCACACTAGGATTATCTCCTGTGTCGTGGGTGCGTTTACAAACATGCAAGTTCACATACATATGACACCCAGACCCGATAAAACAATTTGTGGATGACACAAAGTGTTGTTTCGTGCGGGAATCGAACCCGCGACACGTTGCACGGCAGCCGGTTGCCCAGCCACCGCACCAACCGTGCAGTCGACTAACAATGACATTCGAAACAAAGGATTTATTTATGCGTATTATCTAGCTAATGGCCACCCGAATCCCTGAAAACAAAGTCGCTAAACACCTTATACAAATGTATTGTATGACGCTGAAGGGTTTGTTCGTTTGAACGCGCCAATCTCAGGAACGACTATTTATTCTATTTTTTTTTTCTATTCATTATTGTGATGTTAACACGGCTTTACACCAATTACATTAACACACACAAAGAGAAGTTAAAGAGAATCAAACAGTTACAATAACAGAAAAGAAGAAAAAAAAATTAAACACATAAATAATAATAAATCTTATATAATAAATCTTTATTCATTATAAGAAATTGGTCATAGTACAGATAAACATCTTAATTTAAAATCAGAGATCTCACTAGGTTTGAATGCCTGTACTAGGAAGAATATCCTGTATCACAGGCGAAAGGAGCACTCACAATATTACTAATTCTAGGACAAGTTATTTATATAGACAAATTCCTTAACATAAGTAATCGATCAAAATTAAAGTAAAGTTGATTATTTAATATACATACATACATACA